TTTAATTTACGTGTCACATTCAATTACTTCCGAACTTTCTTCAAGTGTATCATTCTTGGTGGGGAGTGTAACGTTATTTCCTATTAATAAATAAAGGCTGATAGTTTCTAAAGAAACTGTTTGGGGCTGCGTCGGTGGGGGTAACGAAATAATTTGAATATATCAACAAAGTTGAAATGGTAAATTGGACACCGTTACGATTATAAAAGCTGACGTTTCGAGTGTCCGGCCCTTCGTTGAACTTCATATATTCATCATATCTGATTTATCATCACGGGTTTATTACGAATCAACTTAATTAACGGCCTGCTCCCAGTTGGCTTGTTAGCTCAATTAGCAGAGTGCTGCACTAGTGTCGCAGAGGTCAGTGGTTCGAATCCCGTACAGGCCTGATTTTTTTAGCTCTGATTTTCGCTATTGCATGAATAGCGCTCTCTACTGCGAGGATCGTGCATCATACGTATCTATAACCGCAGTTCAAAATATATGAACTTCATATATTCATTATAACTGGAAATCATATTTCCGAAGACCTAATTTTCAAAATCTTGGACCCCTCAGAAGGGGAACAATTCGATCTCCAAATCCCCCTTGATCAAAATCCTGGATCCGCCCTAGTTACATTGTTACCTCCACCGACGCAGCACCACAGTTTCTTTAGAAACTTATACCCCATGGAAATAGAGATTGGTTGGTGTTTGTCTAACTCTGAAAATGGCTTGGAATACACCAGACGCGTTATTCGAAGCACCAAGCTAATGTGATCCAAAAACAAAATCATTGTTTATTAAGCACTGCACTCTCACGTCGATTTAACATATTTGTTCAGCTAGAAGCCGAGTGGTTTGTACATAAATTAAAGCTAGAGTTAAGTGAAATTTGAGCCAAAGAGAGGGGGTTCAGCTTATAGTCAAGAGTTTTCGAAAAAAAAAGATTTAGTGCATTTGAACAACACCAAATGGACATGTTTTCATTTCGAAGCCGAGCTAACTCGAGAGCGCAAATGGACAGGAGTCCGAACCGCTTGGGGTCTCATCCTTGTTAAAATCCTCAACAATTGCAAGGAATAGCCCTGTCGCTGTCTTGTCTTGTTGATATATAGGAAAGAGCAATTAAAACTATGCGATGCTCTGGGTAGATTTCGCAAACCGGAACAACTAGTTGTACCTTTCGTTACACAAAGCTACTGTATCACGTTTAAGTGTTCACTCAATCTTGGTGATATTTTGATTGGTTAAGGTGTCGTCTTCATGGAAATTAAAGGCGGGCTTTCGGACCCAGAAAATGTTTCCTTTTCCCTTGAATAAAGGTGACAAAAATTTGTGAATGAAGGTATGCCCCTGATCTAGTACAAAGGTTATACCGTGTAACTGTAACTGAACTGTGCAACCGCTTGGCCGTGGAAGGTCTGGGTAAGAGATTAGGTTCCAGTGACAAAAATTTGTGAATTACGTTGAATGAAGGTGTAACTGTAACTGAACTGTACAACCGCTTGGCCGTGGAAGGTCTGCGTACAAGATTAGGTTTCTCCTACACAGAAGTGTCGTTTCGATAGACTAACAAATACAAACGTTTTATTTACATTTCTCCGGGACCAAACTTGTTTTCCCTGAATGAAGGTGTTCCCAAATCAATGGTGTTCTTTCCACGGCAGAATGGTAAATGAAATGCAAATGTTTCTGAAAAATGAAAACCAACTCTCTTGAGCCATTTAAAAATGTCTGTATATTTAGCGTTCACCCAATTTTGCTTGAGGAGAATGGAAAGTTCTTTTATTCAACACAGAGGTATCCATCTACTCACTTTACATAAATCGAACATTTCTCTAAAACAGAACTTGTGGCCCCCACCCCTCCCTTTCCCCCGGCTCTCCGATAGGCGTCCCAAAGAAGAAGTCCCAAAGGTATTGCAGTTTGAACATTTTGAGCTCTTTCGTGAATAGCCTTTATTCAGCATGCATTAGAATTTATTAAAAAAAAAACATATTTCAACTTGTCTTGACGGCTAAGTCGTTCTTACTAAGAACGGATCTTCTTACTGTAGCCTTCACGATCAAGGACCGGTAGAAGGATTCAATTGCAAGACAACACTTGTCGGTAATTTTGTCCGTTCTGTTACTTGGTTAAAAAAATATCCCTATTCACTATTCAATTACTATTACTATTATTCAATTACTATTTCAATTATTCTTTTTTTCATTGTTTGTCACAAAGCTGTTCATATCATTTATAACATTACCTAACATGGTCTACAAAATCTCTCCCTTACTTTTAATCTTACAAAAAAAAATAAAATTGCCTAGCTTCAGCGTGAAATAACATGAATCAGGTCTTTTCATAAACTGCCAGAAACAAAATAAAAACAAACCACAGTTTCACGGGTACTCTTTTTTTCTACCTATTTCCTGATAAATATCGTCGTTGATTCACAAATCCCGCATGTTGAAGTCAGCGTATCTTTTTCACAATGAATGACATTAGGGAGGGGGGGGGAGAGGAAACAAACCAGTCAAACGTCAGCGCATGTGCAAACGCTGTCATAGCTAGGCGCAACTCTTGGCGCATGTTTTGGGGCTGCTATAACCAGGTTGCCCCTAAAGAGTTAGAACCAAACACACTCACCATTAAGTCGAGGTGATTTACACGTGTATAACCTTTCTTTTTAAATGCTGAAAACAAAGAAAATGGCACATGAACAGAAGCAGTTTATCTGTCGTTCTTTTCAAAAGCTTAAGAAAGTAACACATTTTGGTAAGTACTTGATGTGATCTTTAATGTATGTTAATGTATGCAAATTACCCTGTATTCCCACATGTTCTTATGTATTGATGCATGTATGAAGGATTTCACCAAGTACCTACCCACATTTTACGCCGTGCTGCTGGCCAGTTGAACGTACGCGCTCATGAAATTCTGAGATAAGTAATCAGTGATTTGAGGCTAGTGTTTAAAACAGCTTATAAACATAAAAATTGACGATCGTTTAATTCCAGAAATTTACTGCAGTAAATCTTGAAAAAATAGTTAACTTTCTAGTGAATGGAATATCAAAACACCATTTCCATACCTTGATGAAAGCTATGAAGGTGAACCCAAGCGCAAAATAAACCTGATAGAATAAATCACGAAGCCATCATCACTATCATTTTGTCAGGCCCTGTCTACTCGCATTCTTATTAAACTTGAAAACGAACTCTCCTTTCTCCTGAAAAGGAAAAAAATAATTCTGCTGTTGCACATTTGAACTCTTTCCTCTCATCCACAACAAATTGCATCCAACAGGGTAATGGGTTCCTGCATACGAGGAGTCGTCATATATGACGTACCTACTACACAACGTCATCCGTTCAAAGTGAGAGATGGAGGGGGGGGAGGAGATCTCTTCCTCAGGTGGGGCGCGTTCGAGTTAAGTAGGTACACCATAAAAATCATCCCATGGGGACTGTTAGGTCGGTAGCCCATATTATATTGGTGATTGTTTTTACCGGGTAAGTGGTCGGAAGGCCAAATTGCAGACGATGGGCAACCCGAATTGATGAAGTCTCCTTTACAGCCGTTATTTGGTCTCGTCACGCAAAGTGCACTCTACCCCTCCAACAGGTACTCGACCGGAAATTATAATGCCCGATAAAATACATATATCTTATTAAACCTTTTTTGAGTAGTACCGCTGAGTATTTTTTGCAAGTTGTACCGTATTTTCATGCTTAACAACCTCCCGCGTGCATCCATAACGCGATGGGTGCACGCTGCACACTAACGATTTCTTAAGTGAACTGAGAAGACTAAAATTGATGAGGGTCAATAAAAAAATGAAAACTTCAGTTTAAAACCAGGGCATAGAAATCCAAGCACTGGATACTAACCAATAACAAAAAAGTGACGTAGAAAAGAAGGTACAATCCAACTAAAATATACGTTACGTGGCATTTCAGACTGAAAAACAACAGAGAAAATGACAGCAGAGAAGCATTAGAGCGACAAGCAAAGATCTGGAACAAATAGCACATTTAGAATCAACGAAACCCAACCGATCGTCCAGCAAGAACNGTCAACCAATCTCGCGGCCTAACACGCACGAGATTACTGTGTTGTGGATGTCCTCCCCAGGGGTGGGATGGGTGGGAATTGGCCCTGAAAAGCCCCTATGGGAAGTGGTCAACTAACGTATGTATGTATAGTAGAACTTTGACCAGCTGCAAGAATTCCAATGCCCCAAATATGCAACGCTGCTTTTCCAAACATGCATCCGAGAAAGACGCCCTGAAAAGATATACGGACAGGATTTTTAAAACGATCACCACTACACTGCAATAATTAACGACTTTTCACCGAATGTAGTGTGGGTGGCTCGTAGTGGAGTATTCAACCAGCTGCAATGCGTCAAAATAGATATGCATCGCTAGCCACCTATACTAAGGTGAATATTTGTTTTAGAAAATATTCAATCATTGAGATAACATAGCACAAAAAGATGATTTTAACTCACTTATTCCTGAAACGATTGCAATATTTTCTGGCGCATTCTCCACCCACGTTGCTCGGGGTGAATAACAAAGAATAGTCGGAGTTCAAGCGGCCAAACAGAGCGCGCCTTCAATGCTATCCACAGTTTTGGTATAAACTAAATAATCGCTAGAATTAACTGCCTCAACTAATGTCTTACTTATTAGTACACCAATAGTTCTTACCCCTTTGAAAAGGTCTCCGTCGATGGCTATAGTTGATAAACATAGAGAAATTGAGAGTTCGATATTTTCTGATTTTTATAGATTAAATTTGACAGATCAATCAACAAACACTTTTACCAAAAGTTTACCTAATGTTTGTATTTGAAAAGTTAACAAAATTGTTCCAAGATTCTTACTTTAGGATCTCCGATCTTGTCCACATCAAATATTTCAGCTTGGCTTATGCTGTGATTAAGGCATTTATGATACTGAAAAGAAAGAGATTGTCAGAGTTTTCATTAAGAAATGTAGTAACACAAGAATATTGAAAGTAAAAGGGAAGATACTCACAATAATATCAAGCAGCTAAGTGATGAAAATAAAGAAAAGTGTCTCTTAGGGGGGGGAGGGTGTAAGTTCATCAAATACCAAATTCTCCAAACTAACACCAAAAGAGTTGCAATACAGACAGTATGGAGAATTATCACTGAGATCTTGGCAATGAAAGGGATACGCGTTTGCCAATTATTTTTAGTGTAATTCGTACTTATTTCTTGTTTTACGTTTTCATAACTTCTTTGTTCGTACTTTTTGTAAGTTTACAGGTAAAAACTAGCAATAAGTGAGTTTGGTAGCGTTTTTCCTCGTCAGTTACACCTTTTTTGCACGTTTCTCATACCACACGTTATTTTGCGCCCCTTTTGAAATAAGCCAGTTTCTTTTTACGCATGATCGCTTTTTTAAGTCAGTTTATCCACAGTCGCGCTCGGCACAGTTCTCTGTTTTAGAAATATTCCACTTATTCGCTATTGCAGTTGTCACTGTAGATAATTTTTCCATTTCGCTTGGCTTGTACTCTTTTTTCTGTTTTTAATTTGTTGATCTTGGTTAACTTAGCTTTTATTCATAGCTTTAGTTTCAACCTACTGCTGCTGCCGGATAACAAATAGACAAATTTCGCAGTTAGACGACGGGTGACCAGCATCTAATTTCTCCTTACAATACCATTCCAAAATGAAACATTAAGGTCAGGAGAATAAAGAAAATGATCGTAGACTAAAGAGGCTCCTGATTGTTAAACAAGCTCTCCTTGTCAGCACCTTAGAAAATGTATAGAAAATGTATGAAGAATATGAGTACTGATGCTGGGGTGTGTGGGGTTGACCTGTGAATGTGCTAAAAAGTCTTACTTACCACTTCTCCATACGTCCTTTTATAAAATGCCTACAAATTAAAAAACTGAAAAAATGAGAATGAGACCTTCGATCCACAAGATGCCCCGCCTCTTTCCCTTTCTTCTAGTGTTTTGCTTTTCTTTTGTTTGTGTAATTGCCTAAATTGTTTGAGCCCTTCTTGCGCAATTCCGTTGGGACGTAAAACGAGGATTACTTGGTACTGTTTTTCATCAATTTCTGGAACAACCACTGGTAAAAACCAATAGGCTTACTCTAACAAATACTGCGACCACGAATATGTTGATGATTAATGACACGAACACTGCAATGGCTGGAAGGAAAACAGAAAAGAGGAGAAGGTTACATATGATGACAAGGTATATTACTGTAAACAAGCAACTCTCACGGCTCCCACAGACTGAAACAGTGCTGAAATTAATCCAGGACTGGAATTGCTTTGATTGTGAGCTTGTATATGTTTTCAGCCTCAAAAACCAAAACCAAGGCAATTTGATTGATTGAGAGGTTTTTTAGTCCTGCGGTGATCTTGTTGGTGTGGAACACTTCTATCACCTTAGTAACTTATCATAAGCAAAACTAGAGACCTTTTCGAAAAAGAAAACCCAGTGCAAAGGCTAAAATCATAATCAACGAAAGAGAACTAGTGTTAAAACTGTTAAAAGCGCGGGAAAACGCGGCTGCAAAAGTCACGATTGTTTTCAGTCTTGCGTGTGATTGGTTGATATGACAGCTGTTACTAAGGATACTGACATGGTATTCATCTTTCGTGCACGCCTCGATACGATTCTCAGACAATGCCGTAAGATGTATTCCATCACTAAAAAAATGAAATGATGGTGGAATATT